GAGGTGCGGCCTGCCTCCGGCCGTGGAGGCCGCATGCGTGGAGTTTCCCGTCTGGGAAGCGTGGAAAACCATACACGAATAGTTAAGTGTTATTAAAATTGTGTTTTGTACGAGGCAAGAGCGTGTCCGTCCTTGTATAACCGTTACTTTGGCAAACGCCGTAGGGCCGGTGTTGCAGAGCGCTCCCGGGGCCGGTCTGCGCCAGCGGGGCGAGATGGATTTAACGCATCAGCTGGAGCTGTTCGCCGGCTGCAGCGTGACTCTCCTCCTCTTCAACCACGTGAAAAATGCCGCTGCTCTAAGGAAAAAAGCCATGGAAGGATCCATTGAAGGGGCATTAATAAACCCCGCAATGGTGGGTGGGTGCCTGTGTCCTCCCGTTTCTACCGCGTTACCGTTTGAGGGCCGTTGCGGCAACCCTTCTCGGTGGGAGCTCTGTGAACGATGACCGGTGTTTGTAATCGCTGTCACACGCGTTGCTGTACGCGCACTTCGCTTTCTCTGCGCAAATGCCTCTCCTTTGGTTTCGTTACAGTGTAACGGCTCATCTGTGTAAAAGAAGGAGCCGTGGCAGGATTGGCCAAAACAACTGTCGTCTTGATTCACTTCACATCCTGCTTGGTGGAGCTATTTAAATTTACTTGTGTCTGTAAAATGTAGCAGTAATTGCTTAATGCTGTGAAAAAGCCACTATTTGGAGCCCTTGTTGACATTAAAGCCCATAACTAGTTTCTGAATCTCGACTTCTTTTGTTAGAATTACCAAAGCAATAGCTAGGGAACAGAGAAAAAAACTCTAATCTGGCAATTTACTAACAGCTTTATTAATGTGATTATTTTTTTCAGAAGATTTCAGTAACCTGATTGAGTGTAATGCTTTTGTTAATGTCAGGTATTGCCCCACGCAGGAAATAAATCACATTGATTATGGAAGAGCAAGAATTGCTAAAATAACTAGCAGAACACTGTTTTGCTCACTTCTACGATTACAGACTTAGGCCATCAAAATTGAGGAGTCAGGATTTTTTCAGAGTTCAAAATAGCATGTTAAATTTCTATTTAACTTCTGTTGTGTTTTACAGATTGTAGATCCTTTTCAAATTCTTGTGGCAGCCAACAAAGCAGTTCATCTACACAAGACAGGTAAAATGAAGACCAGAACCCTCTATGCAGAAATTATTTTCAGCCTTTCACCAAACAACAATGTAAGATTTACTGAACAAATTTCTTTCTTTTTTTTTTTTTCCAGAGAAGCTTGCTAAGATCCATGCAGCCAAATTAAATATGTGTATTCACTTACCTGTTTACCTGGCTACTGATAGAAGTTACTGGTATTTTTAATAACACTCATATGCTGTTACCTCTTGTAGCTTGTCAGAATTCCATTAATGTAAAACATGTGTCAGTTTATACTGTTGGTTGATTTGACCCAGTAACTGAAAAGGTTGCTTATATATAGTGAGGAAGTGGCTCATAATATTTTGGTATTTTTCATCTTTTCTTAGATTTCAGATGCATTTAAAAAGTTTGGCATTTCAGACAGTGACACAGCAGTACTCATTGTTCTGGTTTTGGACAGAGAAAAAAATGTAAATCTGGAAGATATAGCATCTCAGGTAGAAGGCCAACAGGTTTCTCTAGATGAACTCCCCCAACTAACAGACACTGCCAAAGTTAAAAAGGTATGTATCCAAACAAGATGACTGGCATAGAGAAAAGGGATAGTTGATTTAGTTGTCTGATTAAATATAAGTGGACATAATTAAGTTAGTGTCTGTCTTTCTTTAGTACAGTAGGAAACTTGTTTTAAGTGAACCTTGATTATTTATTTCTTAAATTTTTTTTTTACCTGAAAAGTTGTCACCCTGACAAATTTTAAGCCTTCGGATTCTTAACATGGAAATTGGAACGTAAAAATAAATTCCAGATTGCTGCCTACCATTTAGGCACTTTTGCTTCCTGTTTTCTCAGGCAAATATCCATTTAATTAAAAATACATTTTCAGTCCTGAACAGCTTCACAATCTGAAGCACATAAATAGTCCCAGCATGGGCGGCTAAAATAAAAATGGGTTGATTAGCTGCTAGTAGCTGTGTTGGGGCATGTGTGCTCTCAAACAGATTACCATATTCTAGGTAGGTATCTTGAAGCATGTGTTTCACTTGATAAAATTCAAGTAACTTAAATAATCTTGATCGTGTCCCATCAAAGTAATGATGGGAGACATATGAATAGAACTGGACAAATCATAGCATATAACATGTGGAGCTAAAAGTGCTGCTTTCATTCAGTTTCTTAGCTTTCCTTTATGTCTTTCACTTTGATAATTTGTTTGGTTCCTCAGTCCCAAGTTTGTCTGGCAGTCACAACAAGATAGGAATTTCCAGTGTAAAAAGTGCAAGAGGGGGAAAATATTTTCTTTTATATGTATTTTTAGAAGATATGTGATCAGTTTTTTTCTTTCTTATACAGCTTTTATGTTTTTCTTGTTCTTTTTTTACTGCAGATGTACAAAGTAACTCCACAAGAAGAAAAAATTGGCACCTTATTGGATAGTATTGTTTGCAGAATGTCAACAAAAGATGTTTTATAAAAATATGGAAATAAATATTTTTTAAAGGCAAAAGAGGGCTTTTTAAGATGTAAAAACATTTCGTTGCAATTCATCCTGCATTTCAGAGAAAGTGGTGTAGTACTGAGTAGTTTGATGACATCTGAGCTTTAACCATAAAAGAACAAGCCTGGATATGGGGGTAATATGAGCTGTGTTCTAAGCACAGAGAGTAATTCTGCTGTTCAAAGCAGAATTTGCCATTGGCATTTCTGTCCGTTTTCTTAACAAAAAAAAAAAATATCACTTTTGTCAGTACCTTAAGTTGATCATAAACAGAAGGCTTGGAAATCTGTACTTTTCACTTTCATCAAATATTTTGCTAGTACCAGATAGGATTCAAACATTGTAAACCATTTTTATTAACCCTCCCCTGATATGTTTTCTTTTGGCACACCTGATGGAGGTTAGCCTTTTAATGATACTACTGCCGGAAAAGATGTCTCTGGCACGAAGTATTGCTGGTGGACTAGAAAGTTTCCATAAACTGTCAGCACCACCTCCTCTTTCTGCTAGTGGGATAGAGTCGCTGCCCAGCATTTGGGGACAGGAAAGGGTGTGAGGGGCACCGTGGCAGCTAGCGGTGAGGGCGCTGTGGAGCAGGGGCGCTAGAGAAGTGCAGAACAATGAATAATGTCAGTATGGATGATGCTGTGGTGGTGCTGGCACCTGACAATCTGATATCATCAGATGTAGAGTACTGCTGAGGTACAGATGTGTTGCTGTGGTACTTCATTGTTGGCATTAAAGGATAATGAGAGGTGCTTTTACTTTGTAACAGTGAATTGCGTGTAGTGATGCTGACTTCCTAGGGACTGGTTCCATGTACAGGATTCACAGAGAAGTTTGTGCCATAGATTTATTCAGTTAAATTGCCAATATAACTTAAACACCGTTCTGAAGGGATCACTGAACTCGTTTTGTTGAACTAGTGGTAAGAAAAGGTGTCAAATAGAGCTGAAAAGAATACTGATTCCATCAGTCACCAGGTCCAGCATGAGTATCATTTAATCACATGCAGGTGTCCTGTTTAAGAAAAATTAGTGTCCTAATTAGGTAGAAATCCATACTGTTTTTTATTGTGATATTTCATTGTTTTTCTGGGACGTATACAAAACTATAATAGCTATCTGCATTTTTGGGGTTTTTTTTTCCATAATGTTCTCTTGAGGTATTAATGATTTGTGTACTTACAAGATATTTGGAATAGTATGCCCCAGATTCTTACTCATAGTGTTTGGGAAAACAAAATATGTTTTGAGGGAAAGGCAAGTCTGAGTTAGAGTTGAAATGTTATCCACTACAGTAAGCAGACCAGCACACTGACATACAGACCTAGTATTGTCTGTGTTTCTGTATTTAATATAGAAATCACTAGTTTCTGTTTTGCATTTTGATTTTGGTTAATTCTTCCCTCAGTTAAAACACAGTAGTACAAATAATCTCATTTTCTTACCAACCAAATCAGTGGAAAAATTCTTACAAATTACAAGGTTTATCAAAAGAAATCAGAATCATAGAATGATTTGGGTTGGAAGGGACCTTAAAGATCATCTGGTTCTACCCCACCCTGCCATGGGCAGGGACACCTTCCACTAGAGCAGGTTGCTCAAAGCCCCGACCAACCTGGCCTTGAACACTGCCAGGGAGGGGGCAGCCACAGCTTCTCTGGGAACCTGTGCCAGTGCCTCACCACCCTCAGTGAAGAGTTTCTTACATCTAATCTAAATCTACCCTCTTTGAGTTTAAAACCATTACCCCTCATCCTATCACTACACTCCCTGATAAGTTTCTCATCTTTCCTGTAAGCCTCCTTTAAATACTGAAAGGCCACTATAAGGATTATATATATTTTTATTCATACATATATATGAATAAATAATATAATTTATTCAGGAGAAATGGCTGTACTGATTTCTTGATTTAAAGATGGTTTTACAGAATGTGTCATACTCTCTAAAGGGAAATGTGAGGCAGTAGTAAAAAATGGAGCTTGGAAGGGCTTGAGTTATTTGAAAGAAACCATGCATAACATCAGCATGTGAGAATGACCATAGAAAATAAAAGACTTGTTTTCCTTTTCTGACAGTCCAGTTGGTACATGGAGTATATCATCAGATTTGCTGGCTGAACTGCTGACATTGGTTTTGGTAGCTTAAAATAACAGCAGATAGGTATGCTTAAACCACAGCCTTTTTTGAACATGTGTAAAACATCAGTCTGGTCTGTTTAATATAGGAGAAATATTAATAAAAAGATTGTTGCATAACGATACATAAGTTCCAAACTTGGGTTCCCAGTTTCTAATTACTATCGGTCTATTTCATTGGTGTAGAAACAGTAAATAGTTTGTTGCTGCTGATGTGACTTAAATTATGAAATTGTGATTTAGAGACCCAAATCAGCTATTTTCATGGGTGGTTTTCCTGGAAATGATTTTTGGGGCCTGAAGCTTCTGTAGTACATGTCAGGCAGGCAGATGATTTGGGTCTGTTGTCAGTGAAGGCTGTGCCATTGTCCTGCAAGAGCAGTTTTCCCCTAGTCCTAGTTGCATTATCTAAGTTAAACAAATTATTTATGAAAACTGGTAATAAATTTAGATTTTGTTGACCCTGCAAAGTTATACTTCTCTTTCTGGACACATTAAAAATTATTACATTTGTATCTATAATGTTACTGTTAAATCAAGCACTGCTGTCTTCCAGCAAAGTAAAAGTTTAATGAAAAAAGACAGGTTTTTCAAAACATTTAATGTTCTCCTCCTCTCCCCTCTGAACTTTCATACCTTGTCTTTATCACAAGTTGAAAGAGAGGAAGCTGAAGCATTTTCAATACCTTATTTGGATCTCCAGTGCTTCAGAGGCAGGATTACACCTGCAGGATTTATAAATTAAGAACTAAATCCAAAAGTATCATGTATGGTCAATTGTTCTAGCTTTTATTTTTTAGGTGGGATGGTGGTGGTTTTTCTGTGCTGCCTTTTTAACATCGTGTATATGGCAAAACCAGCAGCCTGTTCTTCTGAAAGGCGATGGCTAAAACCTTGTCCACCACAGAATTCACTTGAATTTCACTGCTTGAAAGCTTTGCAATACATGAGTTCAATTACTTATTATACTATGACTTGTTTTACATCTTTTTAAATGACCTGTTGGAGGGAGTCCAGAGGAGGGCCATGAAGATGATCAGGGGGCAGGAGCACCTCCCCTGTGAGAACAGGCTGAGAGAGTTGGGGTTGTTCAGCCTAGAGAAGAGAAGGCTCAAGGGAAACCTTAGAGTGGGCTTCCGCTCTTCCCCCCTTAAAGGTGGCTACAGGAAAGCCAGGGAGGGACTTTTTGCCACAGAGTGTAGTGATAAGACAAAAGGTAATGGTTTGAAACTGAAAGAGGATAGATTTAGGTCAGATATAAGGAAGAAATTCTTCACTGTGAGGGTGGTGAGGCCCTGGCACAGGTTGCCCAGAGAAGCTGTGGCTGCCCCCTCCCTGGCAGTGTTCAAGGCCAGGTTGGACGGGGCTTTGAGCAACCTGGGCTAGTGGAAGGTGTCCCTGCCCATGGCAGGGGGTTGGAACTAGATGATCTTTAAGGTCCCTTCCAACCCAAACTATTCTATGATTCTGTGATTCTAGGACTTTGTAATATGCACTAAAGCCAGCTGGCTATTGCTATTTGAGTTAAAGATGGTTCCCAAGATTTCAGCCTAGGTAGATCTGAGAAATGTCCAAACTTCTGGCCTGTCCATCATTTAACAGGTATACCTCTGGGCATGCAGCAGGAATACAGATACATACTCAAGGAAAACTTGCCTGCCCTTTCATGACAGAGGTGGTCATCCTCCCCTCAGGGAGCATGTCCAGTAGCACACCAGGATTTGCCAGCAGCTTTCACCTGTGGGCTGGTGCATGTGTGCGGGATCAGATGTGTGCCTGTTTCATGGTTGGGGAAGTATATATTCTGGCACATGGTAAATTTTGCAGTGATATGAAAGGGACGGTCAGAGGTTCTGCAGGGATAGAAAAGCAGAGGGTAGGCTCCCTCGCATCAGGATGATGACTCCTGCTCTACAGCTGTGTCTTCGGGCCACTGTGATGAACACAGCAGCACAAGCGATGTAGGTTCACTGGTCTGGCAGCTCAATTTATGAGCTGCAGTCTGTGCATCTCTGAACTGTGTGTTTGATATTAGTAAAATGCATGTTTCTGAAAGCTACATATGTTAAAACAAATAGCCAATCTGATGTACAAAAACTTAAGCAAAGGAAAAATCCACATCAGCTGTCAGTGACTGGTTCCAGGATTTAATTCCGCTCACCATTAAGTGTGCCCCCCCTTCCCAGCTCTGTTCACTGGCTTCCTCTCTTCTGTCATCCTGAGATGCTTTTAACTGTCTGCTTTTACTTCCAAAGCCCTTCACAGTTCATATTGGTCTCCTACAGTCTAAACTTACCCTCTTGCCTTGTTGTGTTTTCAAAGCAGCAGTTTCAGGCATCCCATGCCTACTTCAGCTAGGGGAACCTCCCTTCATAATTTTCAAAATAAATTATTATTCAGTACCACTCTTTAATCCGTTGTCAAAATTTCCTCTCTCCTGCAAAAACCTTAATGACGGTAAGCTTCCAGGGTGCTGAGGCCATTGCCTGTCACACAACCCCAATTGCCTGGCGTTCTTCATACTACTGTCAGAATGTCTTAAATCTCTTCTCATGTACTTCAATGGTATGTTTACAAGGGAGGGACTATCCTTTTGCTTTCACTTGTAATATTAGTTCACGCTATATGGTTTATGACTGAGGTCCCTATGTCTTATGACAATACATTTAATGTGCCAATCACCAATCATCTAATTTTTTCTTTTTATTCCTTTATGTGCTGTTCTTCAGAAAGCATAACCAAAGCTTTGCTCCCATGTTAAAGCATGATGAGGCGGTACCTTGCCAAGGGTGTTTGCCCAAGTAGGGTGACACTGGCCCAGTGTTGCACAGACACAGGAACACTGATTCCAGCACCCACACCCGCCTTTTGAGAGCTGACAGAGGTTCTGGTTCTACACTGTGCTTTGTAAACGCTCCCTGAGGTACGCCATGTAGATCTTCTCATAAACCTTTCAGCTGATGTACCACTTTTGATTATGCATGGATACCAAAATGAGGTACACAATACTTAAAAGAATTGTGTTGTCTACAGGTACTACATAATTACAAACATGTATCTCTTTGTTCCTACGTATTCAAAA